TGAGTTACACCCAGTAAAGGCCTTAGCTGGTCAGCGTCAAAGTGGTTCTCCGTTATATTCGAAATTGGCAGCGTCATGCTGTCAAAGTGATCTCATTTTTCCTGAAGTTCACTTACTTGCCCTGGATATCTTTCACAAGGCGGTTAAATTTATAGAAATCAGAGTTCCGTAAGAGAATATCTTTCACCTGTATCACAGTAGTGAGAACCGGGCTCAAGCCATTTTGTGAGCTAGTAGTCGATACTGTATAACAGGGCGGTAATGCAGTTACAACCGAGGTTGAGCCACTATCTAAAACAATTGTGTTTCTACAAACACATTTTTTAGAAATTTGGATCACAATTTTAAGGACTATGTATCAATAAGCAATAAATCTCTTTATGTACCACCGATAAATCCTGTCTGTAGCACACATCGCAGTTGTATCGAGATTTCACGAGGTCGTCACTCATCGATTTCCCTGTCTGCTACAAGGCCCTGATCGTACCTAGCGTGTTGGGACGGAGTTTTGTCACGTGCCTCAACATTTCTTCACGTTTGATCCAGTGCCTGCCGGAAGTTGACGTGCAACATGGGAATTCTTCCAATTAGTCCTTGGAGGATTCAGTGCTGGGATGAACGATACTTAAGCGTGCTTGCTGGGAGACTCTGTCTGGTAGTGTTGCAGTCAAGATGCCAAATTTAACGTTATGTGAAGATGGCTTATTTGTAGTGAAACAGTATTCCATTTGAGTGAACCGAAGATGACAAGCTCTAGGTTCAAATAATGGTAAGGTTAGAGTAATGGCACTGATGGCTCCTGGCTTAAAATCAGCAGAGATATGGCCGTAAATATTGGTGTCTGTAGAAGACCGGTATCAGAGTTGGAAAACGACAAAATGTATACAAGATGAAAATACCAAAGGACCAAAACCAATGTCGGTGCTTACCATGGCAAAATTAAGGTTATTTGCACGGAAATTACATCAAGATGAGTGCAAAATGTGAAGTATGTATAGATCTAGCAGAGTTAAAATAATAGTAGTCTAGTAATCGTCTCGATACATCAGACCCACTAGTTTATTGCGTAAGATATCAGGTTGATTAACGTGCTATAACAAACCCACGTCTTCACGTTCTACAATGCACTAAATGCTGTCTGTGGCCAAATACGAACAACAGTGCATAAAAAGCACAGGCGAATACTTGAAGAAATGTGCTGTAAGCAAAATCCAACTTTAAATTATGCGAAAAAGATGCAGGATTGAGTAACCATCCAAAATACGTATAAAAAAATCAAAGACCACTGTTCGATTTACTACAGCAAACATTCATTAAACGTATGTAAAGTTAGTTTTTGTAAAACTACGGATGTACAAACTGGGTTTATAGGCTTTGGGTTGGAGTTAATATAGAGGCCCTACACCTTTGTCACTTGTTGTTTCGGGCGTTTGTGAAGCGAGTTACCTTCGCATGCCTGTGAGACACAACAGTAATTAAGTGATACTAAGCTGGCCTTGTTAACTTGTGGGTTGGTGTTGAACAAGAAATAAAGATATGATACGAAGGTCAGTGGAGCACATTTACCCCTAGGCATACAAAAATGATTCTTATTAGTTAACAGGTTGGTCGTGGTGACTTTAGATGAGTCTTCTTCATTCTGGGATATTTTTCCTTCACGTTCCCCAGTGGAATATAGGCCTTCAAGCTAGTGGCTTGAAGTTTCTGTAGCAATGTTTATTTTTACAGGATGGGGTTGCTGGCCCCACGCCCAAACCTTCCTCCTTACCAGTGTCAATGTAGTTGAAGATCGAACGATCAATTCATGGTTGTTTGCTCGAAACCAACTTCCCCAATTTTCGCGGAGGCATCAATACGACAGTCATCGTCTCATCGGTCGCTGTTCAAAAAGAAGAGTAAAACACCGTCAGAAGTAATATTGTGATTTATTATTGTAATATTTGTTCACAGACCTTAGTCATACGTCATTTATATGTTGGTGTAACAATAAAGAATCCTCGAGTCAACAATTGGTGTTTTGGTTTTTTCGTCCGTTATTACTAAGCGTTTCTGAGAAACTTCAAGGGACAGCGTGAGCCCGAGCGTAGCAAGAGCTGGGCATTAACGGTTTGCGAGACGGGGCTGACAACCAGAATTATTTCTGGCTTAGAGAGGTAAAGGAGTGAGTAGGCCGGGAATCGAACCCTGGACCATATGCATGGTCGGCAATCGTCCTAATCGCCGTGCCACTCACGCACTCATTCGGGGATGATGGGCGGAAAATGCTGGGCATTGTGGTTGTTAAAACACCTGTGAATCAGTTGCCGCAGGAACATTTGAAACCATGAAGAGGATACGTGACTTAGTTCTTTGATGCATTCTTGCTAGGGTTGTCAGTAGTGGGGTTTGTGTGACGGACTGACCACTATGCAGGAGATTTCTTCGGCTGCCAGTGTGGAGACTCATTTGACTGAATGATCGCTATACCACCAGTAATTAAACAAGATAATGTAAGAATTCGTTTTAGTGCAGCCAGTACGTAACCGGAAATCATCCATCCAGTAGCTGAAATGGTGGTGAAAGCCTGGTGCGTTGTCTTATCGGTGATGAAGCTACCAACAGTCCTATGAGTTTATAAGCTTGGTCATTTTTCGCGAAATAACCATCATACCTTATAAAGGAAATCCATCACTGTTACTGCCATGTAAGAAGTTTGCATTAACACATTTGAATCAACCCTGAAAGCTCTGACTTCATGTGAGTAGCCAAGATTCGGCTGTAGCTCATGATGCTGAGCGCTGTTGATCTTTTTACTGATTTCAGAATAATGGAAACCTGCATCATATTTCCTATCCTGACTGGCCCTGATAACTTCATTCATGTTTCGCGTAATGGAGACGACTCTATCTGGGAGAGTAAAATAGACGTAGTCCTTTGGGTTGCTGTATTTGAATTGTTTTCAGTTCTCTTATTGTATGATATCGATTTATATAATCATGTCACATATCACATACAGAATATCATTGTGTTCTTTGCTCATTAGGTAAGAACGATGCAATACAGTTAAAGGAATTAAGTGTGGTTCAATGACAAGGGAAACTAATGACCAGGTAATCCACTGCTGGAAGACCGGTACTTAGTTCACTTCTCAGCGTTGACGATTCGAACTCTTGAGTAAAGGTAAAGCGGTGGAACATGATGGAGTGACTTCACAGGTGTAGAAGAGTGGTGAGGGTGAAGTATTGACTGGATTAACTCACATAATAGGCAACGTGTGAGAATCCAGGATACTCCCATTGGACTAGTGTAAATTGTTGATTATTTTATTTACTAGGAAGGGGAAAAGTCTTTTAGTGGCAATCATAAGGAGATAATTTTGACTAACATAGTATCTTAAGTGGTAAGTTCAATTCTCTTGAGTAGACTAAGAGGGGAGAAACGAACCTTTGGTAATCAGCAGGGAATCGCTAAAGAAACGTCGTTTAGTTACTAATACCGTATCGCCTAGCAAACTTTTCCAATGTTTAATTACATTTTACACAGTAGCTACCAAATTCTACACTTATAACCCATGTCTGTAAAACTAGTTTGTATTCGGACGCAAGAATGAACTAACTATTATGACCATTAGGGTGTTAACGGCCCTTCAGTGTTGTCTGGTTAACAAAATACTAGTTTACTGTATGATCTGATACTTACTATGGGGTGACGGTCAGAGTGTTTATAGTTGAAGGATTGCTTTCACCACGAAGAGATCAATTTCCCTAGTCAAACTAATTTCAACAAACTTTGTTTGCATCCATATATCTACCTCGGAGTACTATGTAGAAGCAGTGAAACAATTACTAATTTACAAGACTACATCCAATAGAAGATGCCTCTAAATTTACTACGATCCCCAAAGCAAACATTTTAGGTCTTTTCGGAGGTCACAAGGAAATTTCTCCTGCGGAAACCAAGGAAGCGGACGGTCCACTTCACCAATGAATTTAAACTAATCACAACTAACTTTTTAATATCAAGTAACCTTTGTCGGTGACACTGCACAGGTGTGGGCCGTTTTTACACCTTATAATCACAAGATGATGAATTATCATCCCAGAAAAATCTTCTGTTTGCTCTATGCTCTACTGCCTACAAAATAACACATGACCAGAATCACCCAAACAGAGGTGTTCTGCCATTGAGTAGGTATGGGCTCCCACGTGGAAATCCCAGAAGGATAGCTCACCAGAGGGCAAGGACCCGGGTGCGCTCCCACTTCTTTTCACTGCGGGTTTGCCGTCCATGGAATTCCTTACCGCCAGATGTAGCTATGGCACCGTCTTTGGATGCCTTTAAGCGAAGGCTGGACAACCATGCAGCGATAAAAGGACTGCATCCAAATGGTCTATCTCCTTAAAATCGCATGCACCATTCAGGGGTAGACAATTAGACTCGTCGTTTTACTTCTTTACATTCTCTCCCGTCTCACTCTCCTGACAACTTACTAATATTATAATTACTATTATTATTATTATTACCGATATACATATATTATTCTTCAAACTTAATGAGCTGACTGTTGTTACGCTTTCGTATTTCCGTTTCTGTCTCTTCGTCTGAATAACTTCACTAACTATATCTATTATTATTATTATTATTACTATTATTGTTATTACTATCTCTTTTCTCTTGTCGACGATACCGAAGGACTAACTGGCGAGAGAATCAACTCCAATCACAGTAGTAACAGTCTTAACATACCTCATACTACAAACCACATATAATTAATCCCAGCACTACTCCCTTTGGAGTCAACCAAAGCTACGACAGTCGAGTGGTGGGACAAGCTACTCAGAAGTTTACCGAAGATCAGGAACCTATACCTTACAATCAAGAAGCGAGCACAAAGAAATCAAATTGGTTTATGCTAGCTCGTAAAAACGATATTTGATATCGGAGATAAGTCCTAACAATAAATATCGATAGTCTCTGATACGAGTCACCATTTAACCTGCCAAGTTAGAAACTATGTTTTTAAAATAAAGTACAAGCCCTAGTGTAACACACTCTAAGTTCTGTAGGTTTTAACATTGAGCATTCATTTAGATTTCAGAGATTTTCTATCGGATATAGGATAGCGGACTTATAATCTGAAGGTAGTTCACCCAAGGTCAAAGTTTGAGGTGGCGTTTCGACTGTAAGTTTACTACGGTTGTGCAACGTGTTTATAAAGTGTACTGCACAAGATCTCAAACTATAAATGTCGTTATGAACACCTATTTTCAGCCATGTCGTTCTAAGCTTAGATGTAGAATCTCTGTAAGAAGTTTTGAGTCAAATGTATATAAGTACTGAATCGTTTTCAGTCGGAAAAATGTAATGGGTAGAGTAGGGGAAGACGAGGGCAAAATGGACAATTTCATTTGGTTGAAACGTAGGCAAAAACTGGGTGAAATGCAAAATGGAACATTCACTTTTTTACTCAAATGGGAGATCTTCCCCCATTTCAGATTCAGATGATAAGGATAGAAGGCTCTTGTGGCCTGTGTTAATCCTTGCAAAGTATATCTCTGCAGAGATCTAACTTTTCTTTGAAAGCGTTCACCGATGGAGCTGATACTACTGAATCAGGTAAGGAGTTCCAATCGTTGACCACTCTGTGAGATTCAGATTCAGATTCAGATGATAAGGATAGAAGGCTCTTGTGGCCTGTGTTAATCCTTGCAAAGTATATCTCTGCAGAGATCTAACTTCTCTTTGAAAGCGTTCACCGATGGAGCTGATACTACTGAATCAGGTAAGGAGTTCCAATCGTTGACCACTCTGTGAGAGAATCTAAATTCTGCACGTATTTTAATCGTCCTTGGTTTGATCACTTTCTTGTGGTGACCCTGTAAATGTATCCTAGAGAGGGAGAAGAGGTTAGAAAGGTCAGTTCCTAAATCACCCTTAAGTATACGGTTTGCTAAAATCAAGTTGCCTCTCTTCCTTCGGTATGATAACGGGAAGAGATTTAAATGCTCCATCCTCTTATCATAAAAAAGGTGTGAGATACCACTAACTAATTTTGTTCCTACTCTCTGTACTCTTTCCAGAATATGTGCCTCCTTTTTGAAACATGGACTCGTCGCTTGTATGCAGTATTCTAGATGAGGCCTGACATATGTTGCGTAGAGTATTTGGAACATGCCCTCGTCTAATCGTTTGAAAGCCCTTCGAATTGCCCATAGCATTCGAAAAGCTTTAGCTGCGGCTGCACTGCAATTTGCAGTTGTTTTCAAATCGTTACTGACAATGATTCCTAGGTCCTTCTGTTCTTTGACATCAGGTAGTTCTGCATCCCCTAGGGAGTACGACGTATAAGACTTCTGACCTAAGTGCATTACCGCGCTTTTCCTAGCATTCATTTCCAAACTCCATAGGCTTGACCACTCAGCTAATTTATCTAAGTCATTTTGTAGGGCCAACCTATCCTCGTTATTGTTTACAGTTTTCCATACCTTAATGTCATCTGCAAATAATAATGAAGATGAAGAAAGAATCCCTGGTAATTCGTTAACGTATAATAGGAATAGCAAAGGACCTAATACAGTTCCCTGGGGCACTCCACTGTATACTGCTTTCCATCCTGATAGTACACCATTAACTCTAACCTTCTGCCTTCTATCCATTAAGTAATCTCTAAACCACTCACATAGGCATTGGTCTAGTCCGAAACCTTTCAGTTTACTAAGGAGACCTAAGTGGGATACTTTGTCGAACGCCTTGCTAAGATCAATAAAAACCACATCCAACAGATGGTCCCTATCTCTGGCCTCAACCCAGTCTTCCCTAGCCAATAGTAGGTTTGTCAAGCAGGATCGTCCTGGTCGGAATCCATGCTGTTCCACAGCCAACAAGCCATGTGTTTCAACATAAGCTAATAGTTGATCCCTTATAATAGTTTCCAGTACCTTTGCAATAATGCATGTCAGACTTACCGGCCTGTAGTTAGATACCAATTGCCTATCCCCGTCCTTGAAGATAGGGCTTATAATGGCATCCTTCCAGTCCCTGGGTAGCTTAGCCTGCGTCAGAGACATTTGGAAAATCTCCGTAAGCGGAATATATATTATATCCGCCAAGGAAAGTAACAACTTAGGGTGGAGCCCATCAGGCCCAGGTGATTTACCTGGCTTCAGTTTAGACAGTAGTTTCAGAACCTTTGTGTGCTCTACCACAATTGAGGGCATCTGAGTGGCGATGGCAGTGACCTCGCCATATCCCTGGGTGGTACTATCAGACGAGAAGACGTCACAGAAATATTCAGAGAGGTTTTCAGCCTTCCCTTCGTCTGACTCAGCCGCTTCTCCACTAATGGTTATGAGTGACGGTATACCACTGCTAGTTTTAGTCCTACGTTTAATATACGAGTAAAACCTTTTCGGGTAATGAACGCAATCTAGTACTAATCGTCTCTCGTACTCTATACGACTCTTGTTAATCGCATACTTACAGAGGTTTCGAATTTTGCGGTAGTCTTTCTGGAAGTTTTCCCTTCCTGTCATAACAAATTGGTCCCATAAGTTCTTTCGCCGTCTTAATAACATCCTTATTTCACTAGTGATCCAAGGAGGTTCATGCGACGGCTTTCGAGGAGTGTACCAAGGTATAAAAGGTGAAGTGACACAATCTAGTGTATTCCTAAATCCTACCCAAGCTTCCTCGACAGTCTGACTTGTATCAACTGACCAGTCAACCACAGTTGCTGCGTTCCGGATTCCTTGTATATCCGCTTTCCAAATGTTTGGACGAGCAGATTTTGGCCTGTGCATGAGAGAATGAATCCTAAACGTAAAAGCAATGACTATGTGGTCACTGCTGCCAAGCGGCGGGAGGCACCTAATGTTACCAACGTCCTCCTTCTGGTGTGTCAATACCAAGTCTAGAGTAGATGGATCATGTTCAGGGTGAGAGAATCTAAATTCTGCACGTATTTTAATCGTCCTTGGTTTGATCACTTTCTTGTGGTGACCCTGTAAATGTATCCTAGAGAGGGAGAAGAGGTTAGAAAGGTCAGTTCCTAAATCACCCTTAAGTATACGGTTTGCTAAAATCAAGTTGCCTCTCTTCCTTCGGTATGATAACGGGAAGAGATTTAAATGCTCCATCCTCTTATCATAAAAAAGGTGTGAGATACCACTAACTAATTTTGTTCCTACTCTCTGTACTCTTTCCAGAATATGTGCCTCCTTTTTGAAACATGGACTCGTCGCTTGTATGCAGTATTCTAGATGAGGCCTGACATATGTTGCGTAGAGTATTTGGAACATGCCCTCCAATATCCAATCCAATATCCAATATCGTTTTTACGAGCTAGCATAAACCAATTTGGTTTCTTTGTGCTCGCTTCTTGATTGTAAGGTATAGGTTCCTGATCTTCGGTAAACTTCTGAGTAGCTTGTCCCACCACTCGACTGTCGTAGCTTTGGTTGACTCCAAAGGGAGTAGTGCTGGGATTAATTATATGTGGTTTGTAGTATGAGGTATGTTAAGACTGTTACTACTGTGGTTGGAGTTGATTCTCTCGCCAGTTAGTCCTTCGGTATCATCGACAAGAGAAAAGAGATAGTAATAACAATAATAGTAATAATAATAATAATAGATATAATTAGTGAAGTGCCCTCGTCTAATCATTTGAAAGTCCTTCGAATTGCCCATAGCATTCGAAAAGCTTTAGCTGCGGCTGCATCGCAATATGCAGTTGTCTTCAAATCATTGCTGACAATGATTCCTAGGTCCTTCTGTTCGTTAACATCAGGTAGTTCTGCGTCCCCTAGGGAGTACGACGCATAAGACTTCTGACCTAAGTGGATTACCGCACTTTTCCTAGCATTCATTTCCAAACTCCATTGGCTTGACCACTCAACTAATTTATCTAGATCAGTTTGTAGGGCCGACCTATCCTCGTTATTATTTACTGTTTTCCATATCTTAATGTCATCTGCAAATAATAATGAAGATGAAAGAATATCTGGTAATTCGTTAATGTATAATAGGAGTAGCAAGGGGCCTAATACAGTTCCCTGGGGCACTCCACTGGATATTGCTTTCCATCCTGATAGTACACCGTTAACTCTAACCTTCTGCCTTCTATCCATTAAGTAATCTCTAAACCACTCACATAGGCATTGGTGTAGTCCGAAACCTTTAAGTTTACTAAGGAGACCTAAGTGGGATACTTTGTCGAACGCCTTGCTAAGATCAATAAAAACCACGTCCAACAGATGGTTCCTATCTCTGGCCTCAACCCAGTCTTCCCTAGCCAAAAGTAGGTTTGTCAAGCAGGATCGTCCTGGTCGGAATCCATGCTGTTCCACAGCCAACAAGCCATGTGTTTCAACATAAGCTAATAGTTGATCCCTTATAATAGTTTCCAATACCTTTGCAATAATGCATGTCAGACTTACCGGCCTGTAGTTAGATACCAATTGCCTATCCCCGTCTTTGAAGATAGGGCTTATAATGGCATCCTTCCAGTCCCTGGGTAGCTTAGCCTGCGTCAGAGACATTTGGAAGATCTCCGTAAGCGGAATATATATTATATCCGCCAAGGAAATTAACAGCTTAGGGTGAAGTCCATCCGGCCCAGGTGATTTACCTGGCTTCAGTTTAGACAGTAGTTTCAGAACCTTTGTGTGCTCTACCACAATTGAGGGCATCTGAGTGGCGATGGCAGTGACCTTGCCATATCCCTGGCTGGTACTATCAGACGAAAGACGTCACAGAAATATTCAGAGAGGTTTTCAGCCTTTCCTTCGTCTGACCCAGCCGCTTCTCCACTAATGGTTATGAGTGATGGTATACCACTGCTAGTTTTAGTCCTACGTTTAATATACGAGTAAAACGTTTTTGGGTAATGAACGCAACCTAGTACTAACCGTCTCTCGTACTCTATACGACTCTTGTTAATCGCATACTTACAGAGGTTTCGAATTTTGCGGTAGTCTTTCTGGAAATTTTCCCTTCCTGTCATAACAAATTGGTCCCATAAGTTCTTTCGCCGTCTTAATAACCTCCTTATTTCACTAGTGATCCAAGGTGGTTCATGCGACAGCTTTCGAGGAGTGTACCAAGGTATAAAAGGTGAAGTGACACGATCTAGTGTATTCCTAAATCCTACCCAAGCTTCCTCGACAGTCCGACTTGTATCAACTGACCAGTCAACCGCAGTTGCTGCGTTGCGGATTCCTTGTATATCCGCTTTCCAAATGTTTGGACGAGCAGATTTTGACCTGTGTATGAGAGAATGAATCCTAAACGTAAAAGCAATGACTATGTGGTCACTGCTGCCAAGCGGCGGGAGGCACCTAATGTTACCAACGTCCTCCTTCTGGTGTGTCAATACCAAGTCTAGAGTAGATGGATCATGTTCAGGGTGAGAGAATCTAAATTCTGCACGTATTTTAATCGTCCTTGGTTTGATCACTTTCTTGTGGTGACCCTGTAAATGTATCCTAGAGAGGGAGAAGAGGTTAGAAAGGTCAGTTCCTAAATCACCCTTAAGTATACGGTTTGCTAAAATCAAGTTGCCTCTCTTCCTTCGGTATGATAACGGGAAGAGATTTAAATGCTCCATCCTCTTATCATAAAAAAGGTGTGAGATACCACTAACTAATTTTGTTCCTACTCTCTGTACTCTTTCCAGAATATGTGCCTCCTTTTTGAAACATGGACTCGTCGCTTGTATGCAGTATTCTAGATGAGGCCTGACATATGTTGCGTAGAGTATTTGGAACATGCCCTCCAATATCCAAT